AGAGGGAGGGAGGGAGGGAGGGAAAGAAAGACAGAAAGAGAGAAAGAGAAAGAAAGAGAGGAAAAAGATGCTCAAACATGGCACAGGGCAAGCTCGAATTTCACTGTCAAACTATAAAACAAATCCAGCAAGTTACCTGAGGAATAATGGTCAGTTTTGACCGCAGGTCATGAAGCCCAATGGTAGAAATGTCTATTCCATCAACACTGATGCTACCTCCAGCGGCCTCTATGATTCGGAACAGGGCCAGAGTAAGGGAAGATTTACCAGCTCCAGTTCTCCCCACAATGCCAATCTACAGAGATAAAGCGCAACAAGTCAGGTATGCATGTCGCAATTATAAGGCATAGAAATATACACTACTATTAGAATATTGAATCTATTATCTACCTTTTGAAGTATATTTCGTATTTTTACTCTAGTCCCTTTTGTAGGGACTTTTATTTTTCTAATTTTTAACTTTGATTGGAGGTTTGTTAAGAGGGGGAATTATTTTTAGAACAGGACTTGCATGAGACTGGATTAAATAAGACTGTAAAAGGAACCAATGCCATGCATAACTCAAGAACTAACTGAAACAACATGGCGCACCGGCAGTGGAATTTTAGTTGTAGCAGGATGATCCCCACCAAGCGCCTTATCACGCCGGGGTAACGGGGGTCAGCTCCCTGTCACAGCTCTGTCTGGGTTAACTTCATTTTTGGTACTTTTCAACGTACAGTGTTAGGTGTATCCTTGTATTTATGGTAATTATAATTTTATGCACCCAAAGCACTCATTTCTGCTCTTGAGACCCAAAAAACAAAGGACTTTGCAAGCTTGTCTGGTTATTTCGTTAGACGCGCTGAAGTCGGCAATGCTAAATCATAAATATTTTTGTACAAGTCTGAATGAAAAAAAAACCAACATAAAATAAAAAGCACAACAAAAACTGTCGAACTTTTGGAACAAATGAACGACATAGCAATGGTGCAGATACTCAGAAAAGATGGTATCTGTGCGTATAATATGAAGCTGTAATTTTGCAACTTTATCCATCTGGCACACAGTTCGCTATGAAGTAATTCCTACAAATACAACTTTGTGTGTCTAACATAATCGTGAATGTTTGCATATTTTCTTTAAAGTTTATCAAAATTACCATGATGTCTCTCTATGACAAAGTGCAAACCGATTTTAGTGCCATAATACATCTACAACAAAGTAATACACGAACAGTAGGCAATCAGTTACACTCCATAAATTATTCCTTATTTTTCTTAAAGCGCTAGATCTAGTTTTGTAAGTTGACTGAATAACAGGGATGACTTCTGGTCATTGTGTTATAAGAATAATTTCTAGCTTTCCAGTGACACAGAATCAGCACAAGGCTTTTCAAGCTTTTATTTTCGTTTCTATAACCATTTGCAATAACTGACAATGTTCTGATTTCTTTACATTCATAAGTGTCTGCGCATACGTCCAACACAAAAACTAAGAATGAATGTTAGCTGTCATTATTTTTATTCCATACAAGAAGTTAATCAATACCCATGTAATAACACACTTTTGTGGGGGGTTTTAAATCTCATAATATATCTTTCTAAGTTGTATGCAGGCTGCCACAGACACAGCATGATTCATGAACAAACACAGAGTAACTTTCTCTTGTTTAATGGTAGAACAAGAGCCAACGCTGAGTGTCTTTAGTTAAAAAATGAAGATGGGCATCTTTCTTCTCTTATAACTTGACTATTACTACTTGTGCAGATTTAAGATTTCTCATGGTAAAAGACATGATATTCGTAGTCTGTCTAACACAGATTTTGGAGAGATCTGTCGTGCCTTTTTAAAATAAACAATCATTTATTCATAAGTAACTAAAATAGAACAAATTGGGTACTCTACAAACATTTATCTAGAACAAAAAACTAAGGCACAGAAATTAACCATTCTAACGCAAAATAAATCTCAAGACATTGACCTTTTAGAACATGCGCGTAATGGTTTGCTGTGAGGAATGGGGAAGAAGTAATATCATTTCAAACGTAGACAAAAATGCGAACTTCGTAACCGACAGCGGCAAATTCGCTTCAGGGCTCATTAACCCCGTGACCCCGAGCCGGGGAGCTCCGGGGGGGCTGCTGAGTCACGCTAACTAAATGTAACAGAATCGGGCGAAAAGTGACGCCGCGACAAGTTTACTCACCTTCTCCCCAGACTTTATCTCACAATCGATGCCTTTAAGTACCAGGTCCAAACCTTCTCTGTAACGGACTTTATAGTCCTTGAACTTGACCACTCCTTTCTCCGGCCACTCTGCCGACGGGCGCTTGCCCTCAATAACCCAGTCAGCCTGGTGGGAAGAGACAAACCATCATAGTTTCAAGCGTCACATCTCATAAATACCTATGTTCTCCCTCCCTTCCTGATGATTCACACACCCCTATGCGTACATATATGGCAGAAACACATAAACTATTTCAAGGTGGGAAAGGGATGGGGATGAGAATAGAAGGCAAACAACATGTGCACAATGAGAAAGAATGCAGCCACACACACACACA